TAACAGAGCAAGGTAAACTTCTCCTGCCTAGCCTGTTTCATAGATCTCATTTGTAGTGCTAGACCGGGTAGAGGTTGACTAAAAAAGGAAGTTGACACAACTAAAAACAGCATACAGATTTAAATCCCTCTCAGTCTTCTTCTACAGAGGAAGTCTCTCATGAAACAGGGCTGATTTACATTTTCTAGCAAAAATCGTATTCTGTGTCGCCTGATGTCTGACTTAGCCAAGGCTTAGTTGTATTTTGAGATGGCCTTACCATTTAGTTTTTTTCAAAATGAATCTCATGACCTCAGTGTTATGCATCTAGCCTGTATCAAAGCACATGCACATGGTGGATCTGGCTTCTTACTCTATAGAATGACTAATGCATTGCTGTCATTGGGCATTATTAATTCCACTTGTTCTTAATTCTGGCCCTCAAGCATCTGTGAATTGTTCTGGGCTGGTACTAGTTTATTTTGTTTCTGGTCTAGTAAATGCACATTTCCTAATGATTGAACATCTATTCCCCATTGTTTTTTAATAGGTTGAAAATGGCGGCAATCCCTGGACCTTTTTGTTTGTGTGTTTTAAAATTAGAATTTTCTTCCTGGATTAGTTGAGCTGGAATAGACTGAACCAATCTCTGCTATTTATGTGCTTTGTTTGCAGGGGGTATTCCGGTAGTGGCGAGCTCAGCCACACCAGCTGGAGTGGGTGGTTTTCCCCAGAAGCAGCCAGCGGTGCTAACAGGGGGCGATCGCTATGCTGCTCTCGCTGAGCTTGATACTGTCTTCAGTTCCCCAGCCCCTACCACCAGTGTTTACAACACCACCAGCACCGCACATGGGTGAGGTTATGCAAAGAACAAACACACACCCCAGCACAAATTCTCAATAATTAATTGATTCATCAATATTTGTAATTCACAATTTTATACTTTTAGCTTGGTAAAAGTGTTTAAAATGCCACTTCAACCATAAGTATCATGTGTCACTCCCCTGAAAATTGAAAAAATAGAATGCAGTGGTGGGAGGCAGAGCTGAGACATGCCTGGATAAATAAATGTCAAGTTGTAGAGACAACCCCCTGCCAGGTCCAAGATGATTTGAAACACTATGTGGCATTTAAGCCATGTTCAACCCATATATGTAGATTTTTTAATAAATCTGGTAATAACTGTGATATTACAACATGTCATTTAAATTAGCGTATAGCTCAACAAACATTTCGGTGTGCAGTATCTCTTTAAGACCAAACTGTTAAAACATAAGGGTGTAATAGCTGATAGGTGTGAACCAGTGGACTGAAATACAGTTTACAGAATGTCAGGGAATTTTTTATTTTGCATGCAGGATCGTCATTTTCTGTGTGAGAGTGGAGACTCTCTCAAGGTCCATCTTATCCCCAGTGTCAGACAGGATGGCATTTCCGAACACTAGAAAACACCTTGATCTAAAGCAACACTTCCTTCTGAGGAAGGTCAGCCACCTGTGAAACAACACTTTAGTCAGACATGATAAAAATCACAACATCCCTGACAAATACAGTCACAGCTGGCAATAATCCGGCAAAGTTATTTTAATCCAAAGCACCATGCAACGCAGACGTACAGTGAAAGCATTATCTGTCATATAGCATTATGGAGGTTCTCATCTTTTTCCTGTCTTCTCTGATGACTCCATGTGTTGATGTTGCTTCACTGCAGGAGTGTGTTTGGCTCAGAGACTGGGGTGTCAACAGCACAAGCACAGCAGGCCCTGCCTGGCATGGCTCACGGTTTCGGCGGTAAGTGTTTTCTAATGTTTTCTTCTTATTTTGCTCCGTAACTGAAATCAGTAATGATGCAGAACTTCTACGCGGTGAGGTACAGTGGGTCGTAGGTAATTCCAGCTAGATTTGTCTTTAGGGATTTTGCAGACTTTATTTTGCAAAGAACTGGTTGAGATATCAGACTAGTTTGCAGATGTGATCAGAGAATGAGGGCTTGGATCATTAAGCAGTGGCATTAAGTTCTCATAATGTCAGACATCGATAAGCTTTACTTCTTCTTTGGAGAAATTTTTTTTGTTTTTTAGTCAATCTACCTCACACATCACAAAGTTGTTTGGATTCTATGTTCTATAGAATTACAGCTGGTTTCTGGGCATTTTATCATCTCACTGCTTTGGACTTAAGACATGGCATCCTTTCTGATTCAGTTTTTGGTTTTACTTTATAGAGCTCAAAATGTTAACTGATCTGTTTTCGTAATCTGTACTCATGTTTGGTGACTCAATGCATCTCTCCAGCACCTCCGTCAACTAATCCGTTCGTAGCTGCTGGAGTTGCCCCTGCGGCACCTCCCACCAACCCGTTCCAGAGAAACGGCAGAGTGGCTAATGTGGTGGCGGCAGCAGGTGTGTATGCTTATGTGAATGTGTCACCCATGTGGACACCCAATCAAATAAATTAGTACAAGTGCAGATTAAAATTATTTAATTTTGAAAGAAACTGCAGGTGTGATATATTATAATACAATATTTGTTATTTGTTTGATTTCCTTTCACGCCAAAAGTGGCAACTGGGTTGCTATGATGCTGAATATTCCTGAGAGATCAGGTTTAAATACAAGTAGAAGAGGAAAATGATCAAATCTGGGTATTTCAGAAAATCTCTGACAAACTGCTGTGCACATGAAGGATAAAAGAAGCAGTCGGGTGTAGAAATTCAGATCCAGTTGTTTTTGATTGCTCTTGCCACGCTGGACAGACTTGATGAGGGTTCTTCATGGGCAGGGTTATCCCCCCACTTTTGGTAGGTTCCCTGCTCTCTGTCACTCTTCTACACATCACTCTGGAACTGCCCATCTTTTTCCAGGAAAATGTTGGGAGAGGTGAGCAGTGTTATGATACCATAGATAAGAATGGGTTAGGTTGAGTCTGAGTTTAAAATAAATGGGTTGTAAAGTATGAGGAAATCCTCTTAGCACCTTGCACAATTTATTCTGTAGAACAAAACCGTTTATTAAATCAGACTCTACTCATTAAGCAAAATATCAATACACAATACAATATGTAACTCTAGTTGAAGGATTTAAAATATAGTTTAAGAAAAGTGTACAGAAGTACATGAATTCACCTTTGGTTTTGAGCACTATGCTCTGCTTTCTTAAAAAATAAATAATATATATAAATAATTATTAATTGCTCATCTTACTTTACATCTCAGTGACTATGGCTTCCTCAACATTTTCCTTTTAGTAGTTGGCAAAGAAAAGTATTGTCTCCCTTTTTGGAGATTATTGAAACTATCTTTGCTTTCAAATGCATAAACTAAGTTAGTTATTCATTAGGTTGGTGGTCGTAAAATGCTTCATCCAATGACTAAACCCTGTTAGATGTTAAAATAATCTTCCTGACTTGATATCAAGAGCATCTCCTTGTTGCTTCTGCTCACATATTCAGTCGCTTGTAGTTCCAATCATTGATTTAGTTTCATTTAAATTAGATGAAGCATTTCTACCAAATCTTGTCTTTTTCAATTTCCAGCTAGCTGTTCTATTCACCACAGTTTGATTCCACTTGCCACACTCTATGAATAATCATCAGATATCAATCGCTGGTGCTACACTACAAGTGTGGTAGCTTCATGTCAGACTTTTGATCACACAGTGTTTAGGCATAATTGGTATATTTCTACTCCCTCATTTGCTATAGCAGTCTTTATGTTGCTATGCAATCCCCCAGTTCAGTATACTGCTTTCTAACAAACTGCAGATATCAGCAGCCTCTCAGTATTTAAATACGTTTATTTTACTGCTGATATTGGCCAGCTCTTGTATAATCTAACGTGTGTGTGTGTGTGTGTGTGCTATTGCATGTGTTATAAAACCACTTTTTATGTTGTAGATGTTCTCTAGATGTTGTCTAGTCTTGTGTAATCATCATTAAGCAGTTTTCTTGCTGTGTTGCAGCATCATTTGGCACAGGCTCCATGAGTATGCCGTCTGGATTTGGGAATGTTGCAGGCTTCAACCTTCCGACTAGCTTTAGTGGAACTTTCCAGCAACCGTTTCCTGGACAGGCTCCCTTCCCCCAGCCTCCTGCATATCCCCAGCAACCCAACGGTGTGTATGCCTCAGTGTAGAACATATAATTTAGAAGTATCAGCATCAGTTAGTTCTCTAAAAGTAGTCCTACTTGTTTTGTTAGTCATGTAATTGATTTTCAGGTTGTGTATTTTATTATATGTTCTAAATGACATGTACGTGTCTTTCAGGTGGAGGATTTCCAGCCTTTGGCCAGGCTAAGCCTGTTGCGACTCCTTTCGGTCAGGCAATGGCTGGACCGATGGTGTCAAGCAACCCATTCCTGGTTAGTAAGAGAGCTTCAGGGCATGATATCCTGTCTGAGATTAAGATTATTGTTTGATAGAGATAAAGCCCTCAGCCTACTCCTCCTTTGTACCACTGACTACATTGCCACTGTTTCAGTTCCAAAAGTGTTTGCTTGTCATGTTTCATTTCATTAATGGATACTGGATTTATTCTGACACTCCTCAACACTTTTTCTCTGACGGTTTGTTTATCCCTGTTTCCTTCCAGGGTGCGGCTCCACCTGCACAGTACCCAACAGGAGGCTCCTCTACAAATCCCTTCTTATAGCGATCCATTCAATCAGCTGCACTACAGGGTCAACAACTGGCGCGCTTGCACCTATTGCACTGTTTTGTTTCACAAGTAGCTTTAAAAACACAATGTTTGTAAGGATTTGTATTTTCTATCGCAGTTTGTCCCTGATGGAATGAAACGGTCGTACCGCCACTGTCTACAGCTACAAAACAAAGTGATGGTGTGTGCAGAGGGAGAGGTTGATCCCCTCTTCTCTATTTAACCTGTGAACTGGCCTGGCATCCACTGAGCCACAATGTATAATCAAACTGGCTGAAAAACTAAGTTATTGCATTCAGTATATTCCATTCGTTATGCTGCATTTCTGTACATATTGTTTTTCTTTTAAGCAATTAGCTCTTTTTGCATATCAGTATTTGTATCTAACACAAGATTTGTGAAGACAGAGCTGTTGCTTGGAAAAGCTAATGGGTACTGCTGGTTGCCGTCATTTGTAAAGAACCTGCGCAGGATCCTTTTAAAGTAAACTGTTCTCACTTAAGAAAAAAATAATGCATATTCTGTTGTTGAGATAAGGGGGGAAGAAAGAGTGAATGTTGCATCATGGATGAGTAGAGGACTTGTTTCTCTGCCATCGCCTGCCCTGCTGACAGAGGCCCTGGTCATAATACTGTTGTGAACCACATCCATGTGTGAGTAATGGATGATGAACTGAAAACCACTTACGTTGGGTATGAACGAATTTTAAGTTAATATGTAAATATATACAGTATATATATTAAAATGAATTTTAAGTAAGAAGAAATGACCAAACCATTCATTTATATGGATGTATGGAAATCTTGTATATTTGTTTTGTATAAAGAAAAAGATCTATCTTCATGGTGTTGCGGTTAGTAATTTAAAAGCCTTTTTTTCTTGTTTTAAACTGACATGATTATCACAGCTTGCAGTTAAACCTCCTGCGTTCACAGCCTGTGTTCGATAAAGTCTGGAGGTTCCTTTTTGTGTGGAGGCGTTGTCTCTGTTTTGTTTCTCTGTGCTCTCCAAATGGTAGATAGTCCACGAAGTGAAAAAACAACAGCGATGAGGGAGAAGTAGCTGGCATATATGGTGAACTGCAAAAGAGGACATGATTTAAAAATGATAAATAGATGTTTAAACTACAGAAGCATATTGCATTCACTTGAGAAAAAATTCTGCACCATTTGCAAATTATCTTGTTATTTCTGAAAAACAGCAGTTTTTTTCTCAAGTGAATGCAATTTACTGCATGCATCTTCTCATCAGACCACTCACCTGTGGAATGATGGCCAGGCCCAGTCCTCTGCTGTCGACCACCACAGACGTGATGATGGTCTGCAGAGCCAGTGCTCCAAAGTTGTTCGTCCCAAACACCAGTGCATATCTTTCCATCGTCAGGTCAGCTGCTATCTGGTACCTGAGGGACATATTGTGCTTGATTTCTTTCTGTTTTTTCTTCAATCACTGTAAAATATCTAAACCATTGTTGTATAAAATATTTCTTTCTTACATGGCTATTGTTATCAGCAGCATGTACAGGCACTTGAAAATGATGTAAGCCATGTAGCAGACCCATATGTTGCCGATGAAGGTCATCAGGAAAAGTGCAGCTGCCCCGAGTCCAGAGAATCCACCAAGTGCAAGCTCTCCCCACATCTCCCATCGCACCTCAGTGAAGCCTATACCGTAGGCTGCAGATGCACCTGCAGAACACAATGGTGTTGATCACTTTAGAAGAAATTAGTGAAATAGGGGCAGGGAGCATGGATGTGATATCATACCAAAAGTAATAACCCTTTCACAAGCACGTTTTAATATGACTTATTAAGACGCTAAAACGCTAGTCTGTTCCTTTCCTAATTCTCTGCTCTTGAACTCTGTAGTTAATCTTTCTTACTCAGCAGGTTGGACACGGCCTCCACTCCTCCATTGTAGATGCTGAAGTTCTGAGAAGGCTGCACATGATCCCACAGCACCTGCAGGGTACATTGTGGATGGCACAATTAATTCTGCTGCAACTTTACTTGGTGACTTGTGATTGGTACAATGATTGTATGTCACAGTTCCATGATGGTATGGCCTATTAATTTCACTTTTTCTCATTTTTGTCGGCTTCGTGACTGACCTGTACATAGTTGATAGTCTGGTTATAACCACAGGTGGCCATCGCCCACCACACAGACCAGCAGAGCAGCTGTCTGGAGGAGTAGCATTGGCTGAAATCCCTCCACAGCTGAAGGAGAACTTGGCTGCAGCTCTGTGAACCTACTGACTCCTCCAAGTCCTCAGCTTCAGGCCCTTCTTCTTTTCCCCTGACTGTATCCTCCACAGTTTCCTTGCTCTTGTCCATTCTTTCCTCTTTTGTTTCCTCCAGGGAATTATTTGATGCACTTGTATGTTCAGCTGCATCTATTGTCCCATCACCATTGCTCTTTGTGTTCAGTTCACGGTGAAAGAACATGCTCTGCTGTGGCATAGGCAGGAGGCAGGACACAGGGAGAGCGATGGTGGTGAGCACCAGGGTCAACACCATGATGTTGTTGTAGGACATAAGGTGGAAGCTGACGAGCAGCTGACCCAGGACAGAGCCCACCGTGTAGCCCAGGAGCTGCACGCTGCGGCAGTATGAGGTGGCCCTCCGGTATCTCGTCTGATCCACCACACTGAAACAAACAACATTTAACATGTCAGGTCTGCACTAACACTGCTAAAGGAATTTGCCTTATTCATCCTTCAGTACACGACCTGTAGATGTAGGAGAAATAGGCCACATCACTAGCCGTCACCAAACTATAGAAGAACTGCATGGCCTGCATTGCGGGGACACTTTTAGTCCACAGCAGCAGGGCTGTGGTTATGAAGAGCATCGCACACTGAAACACCACCACAGGCTTGTAACGTAACCAGTCGGTCAGCAGGAACACCGGCACCAGCACAGCTAGGTAGGAGTACGTCCACACCGGGAAAATCTGATTGTTCACCTGACAGAGAAACACCAGGGTGAGAGTGATAAATGTGAAAGTGTTGTTGTATGTAAGATGGGAACTTTATTCCTTCATTGCTAGGTTTTATAATATATGGTTTATATGGATTTTTACCACCACTTATTAACTGGTATTAACATTGTATTTCACCATTAACTCTGACTTTTGTAGTGCTACAACATATAATCATATTTGCGAGTATGAAATATTTGGCATTGCAGGGTTTTCATACCTCCTCTGTTGTCAGGTTCTTGTCGGGCCCTATCATGTATGAGATGAGGAAAGGTTCCAGGGGCTTCACTGTGCTGAAGAATCCATAGATGCACAGCAGAGTGGTGGGATACCTCCAGTCCGACCTCCACCTCTTCACTGCCTCCATCCTCTGACCGTTTTCCTTCCTGTTTCAGGTGAGGTTCTATGATCCTCGAGTGCAACTCTCCGTTTCTGCCTCCTTGTAGGAAGTGCCTGTGGTTGTCTTGAGCATTGAGCTTGGTTTGTCAATCAACAACCAAAGAGCCAAAGAGCAACACAACCTTGGTGACAGTCCAGCTTCAGCCAAGATACATGTGTAACAAAGAGGTTAACATTATCAGGGCGTTATCTTCAATTCTCTATTAATCATTTCATCATTAATTTGCTTTATGACTAGTAGAGATAATATTTTTAAAAAACTAGTTCAATACTAGACTTTTGTATGGTGCCATTTTTGAGGTGATATGATAATCAGTTTTGCACACGTTAGAGAACACTGACTCAATCCTCTGCTCTGTCAGTGCTCAGTTTGTCAGAGATCCCCCCCACACTGGACTCTTGCTGCTTAGCTTCTGTCTGCCATGATGATTCACACAGGAGATGCAGATCCCTTCAATCTGAACGAACACCGAGATGACAGTGTGGACGCTGCTGTGCATGACAAACTGCAGAAATCCTCAACATTATTATATCAGCCATGCCAAGGATCCATGTACAGTACAGCTCATCTATCTACCCGCAACAGTTGATAGTGACCACCAGGTGGCCCCCTGTCCTCGCATTTTAGTGTTTGTCATGCAGCAAGAAATTGAAGCTGTATTCTTAATTCACTTCATTTCGCTGTCAAATATCTTTGCTTTTCCAATAACAGAATAGAAGTAAGACATGCATTGAAGTGTACAAACATACCTGCATTGTGTTCAGTCACAGAGCAGCTTCATCAACAGCAGTGATGGTCTGCAGTGAGAGGGCTGCAGAACTGGTGATCTCAAATGTGAAAGCATGAGCATGCAGAGGTCAGATATGATCTAAGACGTAAAGGACAAAGAGGGTCCGAGGTCTGAGAGATCTTACAATATGCAAAGACTGACAGATATTAAAGATGATCCAAAATGAATACTTAAAAACAATCTGTTGATTACTCAAATTGGTGAGAAAATATTTAGTAAATAATAAAATAGTATAAAAATCACATATTTGCTGGTAACAGCCTCTTAAATGAGAAGATCTAACTTTTTGGGCATTTTTGTTTTTATTGATTTAGGACAATCTAAGCTTGAAATATGGAGAAAGAGTGCAGACATGCAGCAATGGGCCGGGTTGGACAAGAACCTGGGGTCGCTGCAGGATGTGTGAGGCGTCTGCAAGCTCATCTGTAGAGAGATGGATTTCAGACTTAGTGCAATAATTTCTCTTGATCTTCAGAGAGGAGCTCTTCAAAAAAGCTCCAGTCAAACTGCAGATTAATAATTTGGTTTGGAGAAATACTACAATGAACTGAGGATGTAATGGCAATAAGAAGTATATAGCAGGATCTGAATATGATATAACCAGCAAAGCATGCACAGACCCAGCTGGTGAGCACCATCCATAAGACAGCCCCTGCCCCTTCAGCTGAGAACATCGACCCAGGTCACCTTCACGTGGTCCCCAGACGGCTGCTGCAGCACCTGGCCCAGTCACAAAGGAAAATGAAGTGATTAATCATTAGTCATTCCACTGGACATCATCCCTGCCTGTGTTTTCCTTTTGTGATTCATTCATTCATTCATTAATCATAACCACATTTCTTTCCTTGACCGTTGGTATAAAGGGTTAAATAACCTCTAAATAAAACCCTGTGTTTAGAAGTTATACCCTAATGCACCCACATGCCTGTGCTGGCCTCCACATCAGCTGCCATTTAAGATGAACCACTTTCACCCGACTCTTGGAATCTGCAATAATCAGACGACCCATTACCTCCGGACTCTATCTCCTTAATTGAAACAATTACTCTTCTTCTTCCCTTGCTGATCCCAGCTGAACATAAGCCAACAGGACCATGGTGCCACTGCTCCTCTTAAAAATCGACAAACACATTTTCCATTTATTCAGGTATCCCATATAACCAAGGATGGCATGGTAGTATTTTTTAACATCGTCCCACGTCAGCTGGATGTAGTTGAGGGTTTGCACATATCCAGCTAAAACCCAACACAGTGACCACCAGTATTTGTCTGCATGGTCATTATGATAAAGATTATAATTGTAAAGGAATATAATATGGAATCTAAATAAACAGATAATTCTCAATTTTTTTTATTTGCTGCAGTAAAATGCCTTGAAGTATTGTACATGAGAAAATATCCTAACTGTGTTTTCAGATATGTAGTCCAAGTGTGAACTGTCGGTAAAATGAAAAATACCTGGAAGAGAGTGAATTCCTAAGTCGATGGCTCACAGTGGCTACAGCTCCCTTGATGTGCCAGCCCGGGCTGCTGCTATGCTCCATTTTCTTTTTCCCTGAGCCAGCTTCATCCTCAGACCTGTGTACTCCTGCTGGTCCCTCCTGCTGGGACTGGGAGTGCAGCTGCTGCAGCTGTGGCCTTGAAGATCATGAGCCTCTGGGGCTTGGACATCCGGGAGGAGACGAGAAAAGCCAGGCTCATAATCCCCAGAGAGAAATAGCAGAAGTATGATGTAAAAAGTAGTTCACTCTAGTTGATTAGAGATCATACATTGTTAGCTCTTATAGCCCTTCAAAAAGGGGAAAAAAGGGGGGGCAGAGGTATATTATGCATCTAATAGTTCCTCTATACACATTGGAGTGTTCAAACTTGGGCACTCTACTCCTGCAAGGAGGCAAGAACCTGGCCAGTGCTGGCACCAAATGTACAGTACAGTAGACTTTGCATCCAGTCACTGGATTCCAGTGGTAACTGTAGGACAAGTAGTTTGACAGAGATCTCTGACTATGATGAAGTCCCCCTGTACCAATATCACATAGAATAATGTAACTATCTTAACAAGATAAGAAAAGGATGGCCTGGTAGAAGTATCTCTTTATGGGGAATGTTTCCTGCAGGAGACAAAAAGCAAGAAAAAGAGTGTGAATCTACAGTAGTTCCTGAATCTCGTGTCCATGGCATTAATAACATTGTCACTCAAGTTTAAAGAGCATTGGATAAGAGCTCTCAATAAAAGAAACTTGATGAAAACAGGCTGTAGATGGAAGTCAGGATGTGTGTCCGTCATCCTGATCGCTTCTCCAGAGATGTCCCTGTGTGGTTCAGTTACATATGGTTAGAGGAATAGCTCTGTGGTTAGTAAAAAATCCAGAGTGACAGGTCAACAGGGACATGATGAGCAAGACGTCTTCAGTTTTGATGTCTTTTCTTTTTTTATTTCCTACAGCACAGCCTCAGTCCAGTCTGACAACCTGGATTATCCCCTTTGTGCATTGAGCTTTCATGAAGCTATCAGAACTAATCAGGAGCTTGAACTTGCAGACACAATCTTTATGATCTGCACGTGTCTGAGTCACAGTTTATGAGCCGCAGACTTTGACCCGGTATAGGAAACATATAGGGCATAGTTGAAATAAGACTATTTCCTGGTTTAGCTATCAGCACAAGACTTTGGTCTGTTATCAGTTGTGTCAGACAGGACACAAAGACAATTTAATAGAGAGAAATGAAACCTTCTGCTGTTCGGCAGAGATATTGGAATTCAGCCGGAGAATAAAGACTCCTCTTTAATGCAGCAAAAGACATGAGTTTGTAGTGTGAAGTGAAACAATGATATGGAAGAGCAGTAGCAGATGTTCAGAGCAGTGATGCACATTTATTGTTTAATTGTAAAACAATCAGATTAAAACAAGTTGTGTGGGAGTTTGGACTCAAAGTGTTGCCTGAACTCTTCCATGAAAGATTCATTGAAAAAAAAATGCTGTTTCATCCTCAAAATAAATAAATAACTATAGCTACTTGGAAAAACAAATCTGTAAAACAAAATACTAAAGCTTGAAAGTTTAAAAATGCATCACTTTGTGTAAAGTCCCAAAGAAAAGTACTATGTAAATCAAAATTATTGATATTATTGCTATTTTCTATAATTTATTTTACAATTTTCTAATACACAAACAATATGGATCAATGTTCAGATCAAAATACTGTATTGCAAATAAAGGACATGTGCAGCGGTATAGATAAATGAGAGACAAAACTAAAATATCTTAAGAACTAAGTGGGAAATTGATCATGAATAAAATAATATTTAAATAAAAATTAGGAGTTAAAAGGTTCGGTACTCTATTATGCAGATTAGGTCCATTGCATTTTTCTTTTTCGTGAGTTTCAGTGCTTTGATAAAAAGAGAAATTCAACATGAACACATTCAGATGTAGGATTCACTTTCATGTTGTTTTATTTGCGAGCACTAATTGAATTCTTTGCAATGTTCCCTGACGAGTCCACACATAATTCTTCTTTAGGGAGAAGTTACAAAATGTTGCGGTGAAGCCATTAATGATTCACTGCGCATGCGCGGTGGGTGCACGCGGGTGAGAGCAGCGGCTGTGTCGCCATGGCAACTCTTTGTTGATGAACGCGAGGAAGCTTCAACAAAAGACAAAATGAAGCTCAAGAGGTTTCTGCTCCGATACTTTCCTCCAGGTAACAAACACGTGTGGACGCTGCTGTGTCCTGTTTATCAGTTAGTTCGTTGTTTTTATGAACAAAATGAAAGTTTTAAACTTTAACCACAACTAGCTTTAGCATAACTTTAGCTTCTCTAGTGTTTGTAATCGGTATTCGTATTCTTGTTATATTAACTATTATAAAGTATTGTATCTAACCACAACTAGTTAAAGTTAGCATAACGTTAGCTTCTCTAGTGTTTGTAATCGGTATTCGTATTCTTGTTATATTAACTATTATAAAGTATTGTATCTAACCACAACTAGTTAAAGTTAGCATAACGTTAGCTTCTCTAGTGTTTGTAATCGGTATTCGTATTCTTGTTATATTAACTATTATAAAGTATTGTATCTAATGTCATTGTTAATTATGATATAATATATTATGATATCATATATTAACATGATTTACTGATGAGTAATGTATGAAAATGAGGTAATTATCTTTGCAGTTGTCACAGCAGCCTTTAACTGTGCTTCTCCCTATGATCAGGTATAATCCTCGAATATGAGAAAGGAGGATATTTAAGGACCAAATCAATCGACCTTTTGGATTTGACTCCAGAGTACGTGCGTTGTATGATGACAACACTCATTTTATTACTGAACCAGTTATACATATTTTTAAAAAAGTGTATGTGATCCATCCAATATCAGTTTCATGATGTAGCTGATCGAACTGCTCTGATATTAAACATGCCCTTTACAACCCTGCTGCAAGTTGTGCTAGTTGTAATACATATGTACAGAAGTGATTCGTGGATGTGATTGTGACATTTTTATTTATGATCCAATATTACAGTCCTTTTAAATTCAATCAAGCTGCACAACATTTCACACCCTAAAAGAGTTCCTCCCCTAAAATTTCCAGAATTAGTTTTTTCATCAAGATCCCTTGAATCTAGCTTTTTTTATTTTCCTACGGGGATTAATAAAGTACTTCTGATTCTGATAATCTTGCTTACAAGTAAACAATTCAACAAACGGACACAGATGAAACCATAAAATCAGTTTTATTTTGTCCCTCACCATTACAAGAGGAGGAACAGTGCTTAATATTTGCTCTTAGCTTGTACTTTACATTTCTACATTTAAAAACTTTCTACAACCACCATTTGCATGATTCTGATTATTATTGTATATATTTTTCATGATTAGCAGACCATATAAGTTGAAGAATATTTAATGCTTTCATTTCCACACCACTCAGGACAAACCCAGATGAGCTGGTGGCAGAGATCAGACAGTCAGAACCTCTGATCACTGAGTCCCGGGCTGATCAGGTCAAAGAGCTGATCCTTCGACTTCAGCAGAAACAGGGTGAGCAGGGCCACCACAGGTTCTGCTTCTTCAAGGTCAGACACTGGACTCAAATCAACATAGTGACCTGTCATCTAGACTTAGAGTAAAATTATAAAATTCATGGTGTGTGTTTATGAAACTGTTACAGAAAGTTATTTGGCTTTCAAGTCTGTACAAAAGTTTTTAGCGCATCTATAATTTTTATCATTGGTTGCCTACATTTTAGACTCTACAAGGAATTGCGGTTGGATGTTTATCTGTTTGAAATCTGTTCCACATAAGAATTTGAAAAGATTTTGCATGATTGCAACTTAATCAATATCAGCTAATCACAGCATTATATTAGTTTCCTGATTTTTGCTCTTTATACCTGCTAGTTTTATTTGTTGATATGTAGTTGTTTGAGTTATGGAATCAGCATTCACTTCTCCAAAGATGCACTAGAGAGCAGCAGTGGTTAGGTTACTCCATCTTACAGTTAGCAATGAGCAGGATGCTAAAGACGTGTGTTTTAATGCGTTATAGAATAAATAAAACTGCTTTGAGATCTTTTCACCACTGGTGGACCAAGAGGGAGGGGTCCTCACATTAATACATCAAATTCAGATTATTAACATTTATGTATGGATATCACATGGTAAATCTTTAATATGAATGCTTCCTTGGAGGATATATTTTCAGATCTTTCTGTGGTTTCTTTTGTGCAGGAACTTAAGGCACACATACTGCCACTGACAAATGTAGCCTTTGACAAATCAGGATCAAGGTACGTTTATCAAACACACAAAGTCCTGACACAATGCACTATGCTCCTATTCAAGCCTCTCTGTCACTGTGCAGGTTTATAACCGGGAGCTATGACAGGACGTGCAGGGTTTGGGACACGGCCTCAGGCACAGAGCTGCACACACTCGAGGGTCACAGAAACGTGGTGTACGCAATTGCTTTCAACAACCCCTATGGGTAATGATCAGTTTCTGCAAAACTTTTATAGCATCTGCATTTCTCTCTGTTCATTTATTTATAAATTCAAAAGACGAGCCGATGTGACATCTTTTAATTTATACCTTCTTTCCTCTTTATTGAACTTAGAGATAAAATCGCCACCGGCTCCTTTGATAAAACCTGCAAACTGTGGTGTGCTGAGACGGGCAAATGTTTTCACACCTTCCGTGGACACGTGGCTGAGATAGTATGTATATATAACAGTCTCATATATTTGAACATTTTCAAATACCGTTTATTTAAATTCAATCATTACTCCTGCACACAGACAGAATTACTGCACATTATTACACCACAGGACCGAGCCTGCAGACCCAACTGAGCATTTAAACTGCATCGATAAACTATTTTCACATTGGTGTCATGTTTAGCACTTGGATAATATACGAGTCTCTGCCAAATACTGTTTGGCTTTGTAGCAGAATCCAACGCTATTAAGTATGAAAGACAGTTTTGTGTTGTGTAGGTGTGCCTGGCATTCAACCCCCAGAGTACACTGGTGGCCACAGGCAGCATGGATGCCACTGCCAAGCTGTGGGATGTGGAGACTGGGGAGGAGGTGGCCACTCTGACTGTGAGTTCTTTTTTTCACAAACTATATTCAAACGCTCCTCTCCCTCTCTTCTTTGCAATCGAGGCTCACATCTATTAATTAATAATGCACTTATTAAATTTTCATTAACGTCTTCGGGTAATTATTGCGGAAGTGGCTGTTGCAGCTCCTGCTGATGGCCAGCATCTTTTACTCCCTCGTACAGCATGAACACCCGTGGCCTGATGGAGGATGTAACTGCAATTCTTTAATAAGGCCCTAAAAACCCACTCCGAGGGGAGTAGGGATTCCTCTTGATGTGCAGACTGCGCGTGGGTCCGTGGTGTGAGTGGTTGGGTGGCGGGATCTGTTTCTCTTTGCAGCTCCGTCTTTAAGTACTTCACACCATGAAGAATCAATCATGCTGACAGCCGTCAATGGATGGCAGATCCTATTTATTTATTTCTAGTACTGATAAACTCTGTAGAATAAAGAGGCTGTGGCTCAGATGGTAGAGAGGGTCGTCCGTGAACTAGAAGGCTAGTAGTTTGATCCCTGTTTTCTCCAGTCTACAAGTGTCCTCGGGTGAGATACTAAACCCATATTGTCCCTCATAGCCCCTGAATGATGTGTGGTAGAGAAAGTGCTGCATACACTTGACTTGAACTGTGAAGCGCTTTGAATGGTCAAAAAGAAATTCAGTTTGTTTATCATATATATCAATATGTTCATCCATTTGTCCGCCCATCTGTTTATCTATTATTTCATTTTCAGAGCACAAATCGACAAACACAATTTTTAAACTTAACATTTATGTTACATGGTGGTGATTTAGTTTTACTTTGTTATTTTTAGATGATCTTCTCCTTTAAGGCTGTTTGTGGGATATGTCATGTCCTGATGATGCTCAGTTTAACAAATAAAATTCCTTTCCTTATTGTGATGTGTATTTTCACATAATGGGAGACGGATGAAGAGAGGAAGTGAGACCATGAGGAATAAGGCTCTTTCTTTGATTCCATGCAGGGTCACACTGCAGAGGTCCTCTCTCTTTGCTTTGACACGGTGGGAAATCAACTCGTCACCGGCTCCTTTGACCACACAGTCGCCATATGGGACGTGTCTTCAGGAAGGTGAGGCATCAACCCTGTGTGATGGAATGTTTGAAATGACCGATGTGCATTTGTGTGTGGCCGTACAACACATGCATGACGCCTATAGATTCTGCATACAAGAGTGCACAACTGACGTTATGCTGCTCACTGTTCTTCCTCAGACGCGTCCACACATTGATTGGACACAGTGGAGAAATCAGCAATGTTCAGTTTAACTGGGACTGTTCCCTCATCGTTACAGGCTCCATGGACAAAACCTGCAAGGTCAGCTATTGATTTCATCTGTTTACTTGTGACAATGCTCATTAATCAATCAATGAAATACTGTGAATGAGCCAGTGTGTTTCCTCTAATGTCCCTACAGCTTGTTTTTTTTAAAGGCAACTTGTAATAAAATAAAATTACATTTCTTACATAAACACAAATATCTACTAGATAACTAATGTGCTGTATATACTATTCAAACTAACTGTACAACAAAGCCATGATTAAAACACTACAGCTGATAAAAACAAGCAAACAGCCCATAATTAAAATAATGCAAAGCCACAACTAAAAACCTGCACCCGTGTGTATTTTTGGTTCATTGAATATTTATTTACAGCCCAAAACACATATTTATTTCCCACAGAAATAGTCTCAAAGTGATGTTGATTTAATTAGCATTTTAAAATACTGCCATAGATTATTGTTTGATGTAGCTGAGTCTTCTTCTTATTCCTATTCCCTCTCCTCCACTCCACTTCCCATCTCTCGCAGCCTCCCATCTCTATGGCCTCCATCATTTAAAGGGGGAAAATTAAATCCTAATTCCTTAATTATGCCAAGATGAGTCATGCTCACAAGAAAGAATTATCCACCTCGCTGCATTCCTCCCGAGGAGATGGTTAAATTAAAGCCACCCGAGAGAACAGCTACACGCGAGCACATGTCACGAGACTATGAATGTGTTTGTTCACATGTCTTTGTGTGTGTCAGAGCGTATGTATGATATTAATATGTGTTTACAGCTGTGGGAGGCAGGCAGTGGCAAGTGTGTGGCCACCCTGGTTGGACATAAAGAAGAGGTGCTGGACGTGTGTTTTGATTCAAGTGGTCACCTCATCGCTACTGCCTCTGCTGATGGTGAGATGGAACAATTTATTACACTTTTAACACCTTTTACTCTCTGTGTTTTGAACACACGCCTTTACTTTAATATTCTTTCTAAAGCCATCAATCCTCCAGAGGACAATACTCTGGTTCCCAGCGTTAAAATTTTCTGATGTAAAAGTACAATGTGTTAACTTTAAACTACCATGTCTGTCCCTGTCTCTGTCAGGTACAGCGCGTGTGTTTAGTGCGACCACACATCAGTGTCTTGTGACTCTAGAGGGCCATGACGGAGAGATCTCCAAGGTAAACTACTGCACCCAAAATAGCTATTTATCCACATCCTGTGAAAATATAATTTCACCAAATATACCAGCACCAAATGTTACATCCATGCCAACACCTGTAATCACACATCCTCAAAAAGATGTTTTAACCCAGAGGGACACCTCAAGGCAACTTCATTTGTACAGCACATGATCATACACAGATGTCATTCAATGTACTTTAAATAGATAAAAGATATTTAAAAAATATTTAAAGGAATTCTGAAATTATAGAAACACTGTAAAAGCACAAATTATACAACAGATGATTCAATTAAATTGCAGGATTAAGTGAAAATACAGTAAGGATTTACCTTCTTTTAATTGTTGAATGTAGTAGTTGCACGTTTAATATCCATTGGGAGCTGGTTCTAGCAGCAGGCATCATAGTGGCTTAACTTCACCCTGTTTTGTTTTAATAGGCCCTATGTGACCAGCTCCTGCTGATCTGAGAGACCTCTTAGGTCCATATAAATAAAACATTTCTAGACTATGAGTAATATGCTGTTTCAGAGTTTGTGTTTGCTCTGTAGCAGCAGCATTCTGAATCAGCTGTAGCTGTATGTGTGTGTTTGTCCAGACATTAGACAAACACATAATTTGGCATCAGTGAGGTCAGAATGGTAGAAATTTCAGCCTTCTGCTGTTTGCCAGGTTTCTTTCTCTGCCTGAGTCTGTGTTTCCTGAAGCTGAGGTGTTGAGGAGCTACCTCTGTCTACTGTACACACACACACACACACACACACACACACACACACACACACACACACACACACACACACACACACACACACACACACACACACAGAGCCAATGCCAAATGTGCAGCTAACGTCATCACATGGTTTATTGTCTCCCACCCATAAAGACGAGCTGCCTTTAACCCTGCTCTCTATCGTTCTGCCAGTTGAAATGATAATTCCATGTTAGGTGAATTCATTGTTGCAGCACCTTGCAAANCACACACACACACACACACACACACACACACGGCTGGCAGTACTCTATAACCTGGATGGAGGACGATTCCAGAGGATTATGACACTAACATCTCTCTAACAGGACAGCCCTCCCTCTCCCCTCCATGTTTTTTATTTTTAATTGGTCTTTCCCTATTTTTTAGCGTCTTGCCCTTTAACTGCCCTGTTTTTCATTACATCTCAGTCGCTCCTCTTCTTCTCTCACCTTATGGCCTCATCCAGTTTTAAATCCTGGAAATATAATTGCTGCATTTTTCAAGGAATAACAGATTCTAAAGACTCAGATGTTTTTGTGGATTCTGGTATTTGATAACAGGAATTCACCAGACCTTTATTTTTTTTAAAATGCTTTGTCCCTGCAAGCTACAGGAATCCTTCTAAATTTGATGCTCTATTAGGTTGATTAACACATTTCTTGAGCTCACTTACGGTTATTTTTGTACAAAAATTGTAAACAATAGACCAAACCTCCCCTTATTGGATAAACAGATTTCAACCTTTTATCAAACCACACACTGGGATAAATCCCGTGCCATATTGCTACAAATAAATGTTGAAACTCAGTGTTTGAAAGTCTAATTAAAAAGGTTTTGCAAACTATGTTTAGAAGTCTTGCTTAATGTAAGATAGACTGCAAACGATATTTTGTAGTTTTCCTCCCTCAAAACTAGTATTCTTTTTACAGTGTTTCTCCAACACATTTTCATCATTATGGCAGCGCTGTCCCGCAGCTCTGATCTGACACTCTGAAACTGATGGTCTGAAAAGAAGTTGTGATCCTTCAGGCAGGGGCCTTTGCTGCTAATCTATCGTTTGCTCTCTGCAGAAGTACAGTCCAATCACAGTTGTGTACTAGCTTATTTGGGGTTGACATGTTATGGTTATTTGGAATTAATAATTTTTTAGATTTCAACTTTCATTGAAGACTTTTCCGTCAGTTTCGGAATATGGCATGATATTTCATGCCATGGCAGATGAAAGCAGAAACCCTCCTCTGTAGAACTGCTTGTTATAGCTCTTATACAATGTTCATCAACAACACATTCAAAAGCCAACCAGTTTTAACATGTCTGCAGGCAGCTTTGAGGAAGCAAATGAAATGAGGGCACAGCGTTAATGTTGTTTGTTTGTATCTTTTTTGTGATTCTTTTCTTTTTCTCTCAGCTTCCACTCATCTAGTCTCTCTCCACTCTTCCATCTTTGATTCATCTCCAGTCAGTTGTCACTTGCCTGGGGGTGATGCTCCTTGGTGCTTGGTTTGGAGTTATGATAAAAACATACTTTACTTTCATGGACATCTAGAGACGGCACCATTTAATCATCCCTTCCTTCAGCTCTCACTGTGGGGATATGAGACCATCCAGGGGGATGATAACCCCGAGCTCTAACACAATCAGCTTCGGGCATGATTTTCATAATACTCGGCTGAAAAAAAACTTTCTATTATGCAGTGCTGCTGCTTCCTTAATCCTCCTTAAGCATTTAAAGTTGAATGACCTCAGTGGAGTCATGCTGCTGACGTGATGAAAAAGTGATGAACTTCCCCCCTACCTGTGTCATTTAAAACATTTCTGGCACAATCTTGTACTCAGCACTATCTCATGCACGCTCCGTTGCTCATGTAGCACACCTCAAAATCAAACCGTCTCTCCTGACTGTGACTCTGTCTTTGCAGATCTGGTTCAGCCCGCAGGGCAGCAGGGTCCTTACTGCCAGCTCCGACAAGACGGCTCGTCTGTGGGACGTTCAGTCTGGAGTCTGTCTGCAGGTCCTGGAGGGGCACACTGACGAGATCTTCTCCTGTGTCTTCAATTACGAGGGCGACACCATCATTACAGGTATACACTCTCGCCACACACAGACATGAACCCGCTGAATGTGACAGCAGCACATCCTCATCTGACATCTACATGCTGTTCTCACCATACTATACTTAGTTTCATTTACATTTTATTATATTTCTCCCTCTTCTCTCAATTTTACTTTATCCTAATGTAAATTTTTGTAAAGTCAAATTCTTGTTTTGAATTTACATGTGGCGAACAAAGCCATTCTGATTCAGATATTGTTTTGTGTCCTTCTGTGCAACCACCTGTTGGTGTCTGTGCTGTCCTGCAGGCAGTAAGGATAACACATGCCGGATCTGGTACTGATCTCTCCCTTCACCCACCAGATGCTCAGAGGACATATGCACCAACACAGCTTGATTTTATCATTAACTGTTGGATCCACTGAGAATCCTTTTTAACTGTGGATTACCAACTGAAACATCTGGCGTTGTGATGAGGTACAGCCTCGTCTACAGCATCTGTGTAAGGTTATTAATGTTATTTCAAATCACATAATCATCTCACTAACATTAGTGAGATAATTATCCTGCTGTACTGAGTCTGTGTGAAGCTTCACTGGTTCCCTGACTGTTCTAACCTTATCTCATATTCTATATGTGAATTTACAGAATCTGTAGAGGAGGGATGAGATTTTGGGGCTGAAAATCTTCTGGGTTCAATTTTCTAGTTTGACCAATTATATACGAGCAGGCTTTGGTTGCCCCGCAGGTTTAACAGTCCCTACAGAGCAAAAAAGGCCAAAACACATTGACAGAAATGCGTCGGCTATTGGCTTTTTAATTTATCTGCACTCCGATTCCACAATTTAGTGTTTATTGTTTTATTATTAGTTTATTCAATGTTTACTAACACCACAGGTTTGAGAGTCTCGCAATTTCAATACTACATATGTCCTGTACATTTGGAGAATTGACAATAAAGCAAACTTTGAACTTTAAATGCAGGTTGCTGTTAATAGAGATTATCCAAAATGTTGTCTGGACCTAAAAAACCTACATGGCTGTGTTTTGTGTGGTACAAAACCCCCAAAATATTTGTCATTGACCCCAGAGGCATCAGATGATAGCCAATAGGCTCCAGGATTGATGCCAACCTGACCAGTAATTCAAGCTTTACATCGACTGTGGAAACTTCACTCATGAAATATCATCTGAAGTACTTTGAATTCTTCAACAACATGTTTTGAACAGCGTTTGGAATCAAGCTATGTGGAGAATCTATGCATGTTTAAGCCAGACTCTCAAATATTGTTACTGTTTAATAGAAAATGTTTCTTTAGATTTCCCTGTAGTGATAAATGGGCTCTAAGGTATATGTTTTGTGTATGTTTCACATTCATGAATTGATCGTCAGCCAACAGAAGTTATCTGATATTTTTGTTCCCACTTCCTTGTATTTCTCTGTGACTTGTCCTAAGTAGTATTTTCAGAGCACAACACAATGATTAATGTTCTCAGTAGCTTCTTAACTGTAACCAAAAAAGCAGTAGAGCACATACCTCCGCCAAGGCCCAGAATCAACAAATTACACACACTGATAAATATCCACCAAGATCAGATAAATATCAGCTCCTTAAATGTGAAAGAGTTTTTCATTAGTCCCTTGGAAGCCTGTATCGCACTGCATCTGTGAGAACTTGGCAGTACAATGTGATACTGGTGTGAATAAATGCGCTGCGAACCAGTGTTCATTGCCTTTCTGCTAAGAATCGAGGCGTCTTGTATTTCACATCACAGAAATTTATTGATGTCAAAAGATAAATACATTCAGTTCTACTGTGACAGAGTTTACAGCTGAATCATGTGCTTTTTTTTGTTCCTGTTGCTGATGTAACACTACAGTACCACTAAGTAGAGAAAGAAACAGACTAAATTCACATACAAATTAGACATTACAAACCTCACTCTGTCTGTAGGACGTAGTAAAAGCTAAAGAGAGCAGTCCACCACTCCAAGGTGCAGCAGTTCCAAATCTACAGTATGTACAGTGCAGCTATCCAAAATAATCAGTTCTCAAGTGACGTGAACAAGATAACACACTCAGAACTGAACCACAACCAAGGTGGGATGATGGCCGATGAACACAACAAAGACATGAAGATTTTGCTCATGTAAAGCAAATGGGCTATCGGAGGAAAGTGGGCTTCTATCAGCCTCTTTTACATTTTGAAATAAACAGGTTAGAGCATACGGAGCTGTGGGGAGAACTGAACCTGATTTTCCTGTTTTCTATTGGTACTCTGCTTCACTTGTGTTCATTCAGAATAAATAAACACTTAATTTGGTCGTTAGAATCTGTAAATATATTTTATATATATATAATCTCGAGCAGTTAAAACCTGCCAACTATAATCTCTTAAAGGACACTTCATTCCCCAGAGGAACCTCCAACCTGTTGTTTACCTATAGTAAAGGGAGAATGGTCCATTCACAGCTGCGGACAGACAGAAAAAAAAACACAAACTCCATGGAAAGAGTGAGCAGTGTGAAATTCTCAAGTATGCTGTTTGCGTTGTGCTTTCAGCTCGCAGCAGGCGAGTGTGATGACACAGGGGTCGGGCAACAGACAGGAAGTGTGAGTGAGCATTTGTGAGTTTTTTTTGCAGTAACGGTGGGGGGGGCTTGTCTGGCCTACACATTCTCCAGAAGCCAATCAAAAAGGCTGGACAGAGACCTGCCCTCCTCTTCCTCTTTCTCGTGCAGTTGACAGAAACGAACAACAGCGCTGAACAGGTCTGCGACCCGCCACGCCTTCTGACACATGAGGTGGACCACCCTCTGGAACTGAGAGAACACAGGATTAATAATTCAATATTTTCCAGTGAAATTAGCAATATATGATTGCTAAAATTTTAACCTATAAGGCAGTGATCAAATTATATATAATTTAAAGTGAATTGAAAATGGAATAGTCTGTTATATAGAATTGTCAGTGATTCAGAGGATGCTGTTAGTTGAATGTTTACAGTTTAAACTTTGTTCTAAATAAATATAAAGAAAAAACACCAAATACAACCTGATTTATATAACTTTTTTTCCTAAAACATAAACATAAATTAACATATGTTAAACCTGTGAAATGAAAGTCTTCATATCGTCAAACATGAATATACAGAAGTTACGGATATATTAGTGAAAGGGTCAAAGATTTGTCAGGCTGTAATGATCAAGCAATGTGAATAGATACCTGCCCAAGTGTTTGTTTTTTATTTGTCTTGCTCTGTTTACCTTTGCAACTCTTTTCTCTTTGGACTTCATGAAGTAGAGCGCAGGAAGGCCGAGCTCAGAGGCAGCGATCCACTGCAGGGCCACCCTCAGCTCAGAGTCCACACAGTCCGCCTCGAGGTCACAGTTCACCACCAACATCTCCCTGAGGTTTCCACTGCCACTGGCCGCCTTCGCTGATCGGGCCCCTGTAAGACCACAGGTGACAGGACATGCTGTAGTAGGGGGGTAACCCTGCATAACACACCTCGAATTTTAACCATGTCGTTCTCACCAGCAAAGTCTACCTGCATCTACAGCTTCATAAATATCCTGAGCTCAGTGCTGATCTGAGATCATCGTCGGCACGTAAGTTATTAAACAAAGATGAAGTGTGTGCTGAGACACTTCTGGAGCTTTGGGCCCTTTTCATTATTGACGAACATCCTCAACTCGGAGAGAAGAATCAACTGTTTTCAAGTGTATACGTTTGAGGGATAATCACACAGGCTCAGCACATATTCGAACCTCCAGTCACTCAGGACTGTTTGAGAAGTCACAGCTGAGATGATAAATAAATAACAAGCTGAAAACCTTGAGATGACATGAGAATCCACCACTCACCAAATGCGTTCTCCTTGGTTCCTGCCAAATGGCCTTTCTCTGTCTCCTCACTGTGGAGCAAAAAAATCTGTTTTAATTTCAACATTTCGAGACCTACATCAATTCCCTGTGACAAGAGCTTCTGTGGACGAGACATTTTATAAAAGCCTTTTAAACAGGGTCTTAAAAAAAGTCTAAAATTCCTTAATCTGTTTTTGATTTCAATCAAGCTGCACAACAATGCACACACTCATAGACATCAGTTCCATAAATGTACCTGATTTTTTTCATCAAGGTCCATGAATTATTGCCTCGGGAATTGATGAAAAAAATAAAAAAACACTCTCTCAGCGTTAAAGAGAAAAAATCCTGGATCTGCCCCTTCTCTTGATCCGTCATACAATTTTATAAGTTCTTTCTTAGCCTATGTTCAAAAAAAGTCATTTTTGCTTAATCCTGCTAAAAAACTAACGTCATGTGCATGTGTTATTCCAGCAACTCTCATAGTCACATGTTACCTTGTTGCTCTGCTCTGGGAGATTAACTGAGAACAAACAATATACTTTGTCATATTAAATAATATATAGTTCATTGGGGGGAGTCAGAGTGACACATTAGTGAGAACCGTTCCAGCACATGACTGTGACAGTTACCTGATCACTGTGCTCTGAGAGGGCACATCAGAAAAAGTATCCAGGTCTGCCAGGCCTAGGCTGGAAGCGCTGCTGGTCCCCGTCCTGTAAAACAAGGGATGGCGTCATCGTGTTCTCTTATAACACCTGACACAATCACTGAGTTGTGAAGGAACAATAACCAGACGCAGCGATGCAGGTCATGTTGTTCGCTAGCTGGTGATTAACATAGAAACAGCTGCTGCAGCAGAATCGGACGCTCGAGGAAGGAGATTATTAGATGCTTTTTTCTTGTCTGAATATGGCGATGAGCAGAGCTGGAGGCAGTTTGTGGGGGGGGGGTGGACAGGCAGACCAGACCCTCGTTTGTGTCACAACATGGATCAGGGATGAGGTGGAGTTTCAGTAAGCAGGTAGATGGAGAGTTTGGGTGAAGCAGCAAGTGTTAAAATGGTGGTGCAGACGACTAACGTCACAACTGATTAAGCATCAAATATTTTAACACATGGAGCCCTCCAGCCTCCACGTTCCTCTTAAATCTATACCTATCAAAATAAATAAACTTGAACATTTAATCTACACAGAAATGAAGCCAAAATGTGAAGTAATTTGAAGTCTATGCAGTAGCAACTGGAGTATTGAAGTATTGAGGTCCCATTTGATTGACCAATCGTGAGTCTCAGCTGTCAATCATGACATTTCACCCCATTATAGCATCGAATAACTAATTAAAAACAAATTTACTGAATTTACTAAAACGACAGGAAACAGTATTTCAACCTTTTAGTTTGGTCCATGTCCAATCCACCAACATGAAAAAGATTTTATGTTTTTTTTATGGTTTTACGAGCTATACTGCAGCGGAACACCAGGAGGCGATAATCACTGGCCGTCATGTCTTCTGTCTGTACATATACTCAATGGCCCCTTTATCATGGTACCTTTTTTTTAAGGCTAAGGGAAAGCAGGGCGTCCTCTACGACTTGCTTAATTCAAATGGTGAGCACAAAGCAGTGACTCTGCACTATTTGGGAAAGGTTGTTTGAAACAAATGAGAATTAGATGAAGCAAAAAATGGTTGCAGCAAACTAGAGGGTATTTGATGTGAGCGATCGTGGCCCCATTCCACTGCAGCCCACTACTGCAGGTAGTGGTGCATGGAGTACGGGCAGAGTGTGGCCCTGTATGCGAGCTATGGAGAGAGGGACCTACGGAGGGACATCTCTGCCTGAGCAGGCGTGGACATTTGCAGCAGCTGGAAGTAAATTGGCACAAAAGAGCACAAGTCTCAGCAATGAGAGCGGGGTGAGGGTGGGGGGTGGCAGCGTTTGGAGCAGTGTCAAGGAGCAACGGTTACTGACCCCTCGCTCAGCTGGATAAAACTACTGGTCTCCTCGTGGGGGTCATCCTCTGGGGTTATATGGGACCAGCTCCCCATGCTCTCTTCACTGCTAGCACTCATTGAACGCTTGTCCCTCTTCACTACTGCAGACACCGCCGCAGCTGGTCTGTCCCTCTCACTGCTGGGGAGAGCAAACCGCAAGATGGTGGGAGAGTTTTATGAAACTGATTAAATTAATTCTCAATCAGATGATTGAAGGCTGCCAAACTCGACAATTCCAGAGGGAAATCAGGTTTTATTGACTCGTTGAGTGATTGAGTCCCACTCTTACACAAGGGACAAACAGATGCACGCCACTCATTTCTGGATTACATTTATTACCAAGTGAAAAGGAGTGTGTCTCCTAACTCTCCTGTGGCCTTTCAGCTGTTTTTTCCCCGTCATTCACTATTGAACATGTGTGAGGATTCCCTAACATCTTATTTGGCGGATCTAAATTTCCCTTAAAAAAGTTGCATGAGCCCTCTCTTGCAGACTGCGATGCACAACACCCATACTTCTGGTCTTAGTTGTGTCAGCACAATCTTTAAGAGATAAGTGTCTTCTGGTGTTAGTGTGTTAACCAAGGGTGAGTGCAGCTTGTACTGATCAAGACGAGCTCAACAGCCCCATAGTGGATAAAACATCAAGCCACTAAAAGCTTTCTACACACAGTACATCACCCAGACAGTGTGAGTCACAGCCTAGCCAAGTTTCTCAAGCCTCTCTCACTGCTAAAATAGATTAGTTTTCTCCAAGAATAGATCTGTGTGCCTGCCACTCTCTGATCTACCCCTAAAATAGCTTGGACAGTTGTAGGGACAGGGATTTATTTGTTTAGAGTGGATATTCTCTGAAGTTTAATGATTTATCCTAAAGTAACCACGTGA